GGAGGCATCATGATCCCTGACTTCAAGCTCTACTATAGAGCTACAGTAATAAAAACAGCTTGGTATTGGCATAAAAACTGACATGTGGACAAATGAAATGGAATTGAAGACCCTGACATTAATCCGCACACCTATGAACATATAATTTTTGACAAAGAAGCCAAAAGTGTGCAATGGAAAAAAGAAAGCATCTTCAACAAATGTTGCTGACATAATGGGATATCAATGTGTAGAAGGCTACAAATAGATCCATATCTGTCACCATGGACAAAACTTAAGTCCAAGTGGATCAAAGACCTCAACATAAATTCAGGTACTCTAAACCTGCTAGAAGAGAAAGTAGGAAGTAGTCTTGAACACATTGGCATAGGAGATCACTTCCTGAATATAACACCAGTAGCACAGACACTGAGAGAAACAATCAATCAATGGGACCATCCTGAGTGAGGTAACCCAGACTCAGAAAGACAAACATGGTATGTACTCACTCATAGGAGGATACTATATGTGGAACAAGGATGACTGGACTGCTACTCACATCACCAGTGAGGCTACCTAGAAAACAGGACCCCAAGAAAGACACAGGGATTGCCCAATGACAGAGAAATGGCTGAGATCTACATGAACAGCCTGGACATGAGTGGGAGTAATGAAGGGCGATGGTCAAGGGATAGAGAGCCTGTGGGAGCAGAAGATCCCAGCTGGATCAAGAACAGAGAGGGAGAACAAGAAATAGGAGACCATGGTAAATGAAGACCACATGTGAAATGGAAGAAACAAAGTGCTAGAGAGGCCCACAGAAATCCTCAAAGATAACCCAAAATAGACTGCTGGCAATGGTCGAGAGACAGCCAGAACTGACCTACTCTGGTGATGGGATGGCAAAACACCCTAATAGTTGTGCTAGAAACCCCCATCCAACGACTGAGGGATTTGGATGCAGAGATCCACAGTTAGGCCCTGGGTGGAGCTCCGGGAGTCTAATTAGCGAGAAAGAAGAGGGTTTACATGAGGGAGAATTGTTGAAACCAAGGTTGGATAAAGCACAGGGACAAATAGCCAAACGAACAGAAACACATGAACTATGAACCAGTAGCTGAGGAGCCCCCAACTGGATCAGGCCCTCTGAATAGATGAGACAGTTGATTGGCTTGATCTGTTTGGGAGACATCCAGGCAGTGGGACTGCGTCCTGTGCTCAGTGCATGAGCAGGCTGTCTGAAACCTGGGGCTTATGCAGGGACAGTTGGCTCAGTCTGGGAGGAAGGGACTGGACCTGCCTGGTCTGAGGCTACTAGGTTGATCTCAGTCCTCGGGGGAGGCTTTGCTCTGGAGGAGGTGGGAATGGGGGTTGTGCTGGGGGGAAGGGGAGGCAGACAGGAGCGGGGAGAACAGGGGAATCCGTGGCTGATATGTAGAAGTGAATGGTATTTGTGGGGCGTTTACCCACCACCCCCACAGCTTCCCAGAGTTTTCTTGAGTGCGAGCAGGAGGAAATATTAGATAGAAGGATATAGCAGAGAATCTTGAGATAAACAGATAGAAAATAAAGGATAGCCTCGAGAGGGCCTGGAACCTATTCCAACGGGCCTGGACTGTCTCTGGTCCAGGGTTTTTATAGAGACGC